GAGGCCACCATAGGAGCCGGTGTGGACTCGTATTTTGAGTATCTCTTGAAGGGCGCAATTATGTTTCGAATGCCAGAGCTCGACGCTATGTTCCGTGGTAAGTATTTATTCCTCTTTATTGACTTTTACACTTCCACAACATTTCTCATGTTCAGTCACCCATTAGCGAACGTGGTGGTACACTCAGTGCTGAGTACAAGGATATTTTCCTTACGTAAAATATGTATGAAGGGTATGTGTGATACAGGGAGCGATAATGGAAGTGCGGAATAGTTCCAAACTTCATATCGCACGCCGCCTATGTAGTTCAGGCCACAATCAAGAAATAGCGCCCTCGACCATTCATCTCTTACGATTTTTGGGAGTTTTCTGCCCAGCAGTCACAAGTCGTCTGGATTGACTGTTTTAGATTGCCTTTCTCAGACCTTTGTTTAGAACCAAATCACAAGGATCGGCGGTAGGAGGACCTTTTTAAGTAACGGTCCACAGACCCTATTATGATGCCATCCCTGGATTTTATGATATATATAGCAATCTGTATACTAGACTACCGGTTCTGCTGCGCGATTGATTATTTTTCAAACGGAAGTCCGCCAACCCCGTTCTTGGCGTCCAATAAAGGTTGTCACGTTATCCTTCGCCCATGGACGCACACGGTAACTAGGATCTAGCTTAACGATTCGGAGCGAGATGTGGCGCTAGTTTCTATCCCACGCAGTATGCCCAACTTTCGGTGTTTTGATTGTGTTTATAATTTCCGCTGCACCTCTCACCTTCACCCCAGTGGTACTTCACACGCCAAGATCGTTGTATCCAGACAATTTTCCAACAAACTTGTATCAGGCGGCTATGGCGTCTTCATTCGGACCTGGTAGCAGGTTTTCGCTCCACTTGGTAACCCTTTAAGCCTCATATGTAAATTGTAGTGAAGACAACTTCGGCAGCATCGATTTTGCTACCTCCGTGGGCTGATGGTTAAATTAAGGGCGGGAATACAGTGTCGCAACACTTAGAATTGTCTATTCCCCCACCAGCCTGTCATACGGGCGGACTACTACTACTACTACCACCACCACCACCACCACCACCACCACCACTACTACTGCTACTACTACCACTACTACCGCTGTTACTACTAACACTACTACCACTGGCGGGAATACAGTGTCGCAACACTGAAGAAAACTTTTTCCCCCGTCTACCACCACTGATACGGCGAATACTACTACTAATCCTACTATTAGTACTACTACTACTACTACCACCGCCACCACGGCTGCCAATGCTACTCTACCAACGCTTACAGTATGGGTAACTAACTGCAATAATACTAGCATCAGTAACGGAGTGTTGTGACACAGGTATCCAACCAAATTAAGTTAACAGAACTCGGTGTGAGGTATTTACCAGGTACCTCTTCCCAATCTGTTCTGCAAACCATTTGGCCAGAAATGGCCATTCCAGTCTCCCTTGTCTTTGTCGGTAATACCATTCTGCCCATTTGATCTTTAGCAAAATCGGTCGTCAGCTGGATTGTTACCTTTGGAATGTCAGTTCTGAGGTTTAACAGTACAAAGCCGCCCATTTTAAGAAGAACCTTTAACGGATTCCGTCCATCAGTATCAGGGTCTCATTTCTTATCACGGCTCTGCATTCCCTGATTCTTACGTAATGTTGCCCACAAGTCTGGTAGCCTAGTTGTAGCAAGCATATCTGACACCCTTTAAGGACTTTTGTTTGATTTATAGACTCAAGAGAAGTTTCTTTCAATTCCTTTTAGATTACCGTCAAATTATACGAAAACATATGAAGTTCGGTTCTTGGCATTATATGGTTTCAATGAAACAAGGCAGTGTAACAAGTCCACTGTTTCAGAGTCTAGAGTCATTTTGGCCAGGCGTTTTGGTGAGTTGGACTTTTTTCGAAGTGAAATCCCCCATTAACCTATTAATTAGAAGTTTGATGTAGGATTGCAGATTTTTACTCTATAGGTCTTGAATAAGTGCCTTCAGCTATGAATCCAATTGGTTGCTTTTTAATTTTCTCAGAATTAAACTGCTAACTTGTAGTAAATCAGTTTAAGCCGAGGTCTTTTGGCGCAGGCCGAAATCTAATGTATGGCTATTTGGGTCGAATTTCATCAGCCACAGCAGGACAACCGCGTAATATTAACTGCCGACAGGCAGCCACCAGTGTTTTTAGTGTTAAAAGATACCGTACTAGCAGCACAGGTATTAGCTAAAAGCCCAGACACGTGTTTCGCCGATATTCTGCCGTCGCATGGCACAGCTGCGAGGGATTAGGCTCATCGGTTGGTCCCCCAGCATTCCTTATGTGCTTTCTGGTCGATACTCCAGTTTAGAAATTGTTGCTGTCTGACCTTACTCTCAAAGCTGAAAGCACGTATGTCAGTTCATTCACATTTTCAAAGTTGGTTAGTAATGGGAACAAGGACTCAGTGGCCTGACGATTGCGTGACTGTTGTACTAGAAGAATCGTCCTTATTCCCGACGAGTTTGTATGGAGTCACTTGTTTAATTGAGTCGTAGGAGTCCTCCAACCTGCATTGCTGGATCGCGTTTATTTTACCAATCCCATCCAATTAATTCAGTCATTTCATATACTAGCTATGCCTACCTCTAGACTTTTAAGTCGGTCTTCTAGCCGACGATTGCGGGAGAGATGGTGGTCTGAGTCTGTCCAGACTTACATGCTTTCGAGCCGATGCCAGATTTCCATCTTACTGAAGGGTGGCTGTGTATTTAGATGGCGATTTTTGCTGTACCTCCCCCCCCCCCGCCTTTTGACCATGTGCCCAGTTATCACACACTGTTCCGTTTTTTAATAGTTTTCCTTCACCGTGACTTGAAATGTGTAATTTTTTTGTAGGCTCTCGCTGGGGATATTGAAGAAGCCAAAGAGTCCCTTCTGCAGTACCACCAAGTCTGGAAGAAATACGGATTTCTTCCGGAAATGTACGACATCAATTCGGGCAAACCGGTGTCAGGCAGAGCAGCTTATCCTCTTCGGCCAGGTTTGCACTTTTGTTTGCAATTATTTCGTGAATAGAGGAACGTGTTTAAGTCCCACGTACTTGTCGGAGAAAGAGTGACACTTGTGGCACACTAGGCTGGTATCTCTTTTTCTGGAACGTTCACAAGCGTCCGTCATCAGAAGTCGAAAGCCAGCTGCAAAGCCAGCGGTATTTATCCAACACTGCGGCCAATCACCCTTCAGCTTTGTAAGCCTGGATGCAGCTTTAAGGGGTTATGCATGTGGTTGGGAAATCGGTAATTCAGTGGATCGAACTCCTTAGTTCTAAAGTCAAATCGGCGCACAGCTTGCCTTTCCCCCACCAGAGCAATTATTTTTAGTGCTGCTAGATAGGAGGCTTAACTCGTCTGGTGGACGCGGGTGAGAATTTGTAGTAGTATTCTCGTAAGTGATCCAGTTTACGCCCGTGCATGTATGATTCCATGCTTCTCCCAGCCCAGCTAATAACATCTGTTAAACCAAAGCACTAATGCGCTATTCCTTATTGTTTCTTATTGAGAAATCTGTTCGTAGTAGACTCAGGTCGGTGTGCGCTTCTATAACCTGGTTCCTCGACAGTGTGTCCAGCCTCCTAAAAGCCATCCTTCTTATATAGTATACTGGTTTGCCATGCCTTCGGTTGCCTTTCCGTCTGCGTTCTCCAGGATGGATTCCAAGGCTTAGGTTTGTCAGTACTTATAAAGCCATTCCACCGAAACCGATCTCAGAGGTACCTAACAATTCCCTTCCACTTCTGCGGAGGATTTTAGTGACTGCTGTTCGAACCTCAGGGATTTTTAACCTGGAGTTTGGTATGGCCATTTGGTGATGACTACTAGACCACAAGTGGCCATCCCAACCCCCCTTGTCGTTGCCCGGGTGTTCCACACTTCGGGCTTGGGTATGGCTGGCTGACGACGGCTAATAAGCCAGAAATGGCCATTCCAGTCTCCCTTGTCTTTGTGGGTAAAATCATTCTGCCTATATATCATGCGCCGCTGCGCGGCTGCTGGTTGGGCTCGAGAGAGAGCCCTTAAGGCACAACGGAACGAGTGAGTTCCGTATGAACGATCGGTGAGCGCCCCCTAACAACATATATATATATATATATATATATATATATATATGTGTATATAGGGAAGAGGAGGATGAGGCGATCTCTGGGGAAGAAGGTTTATTCACCTGACGTTTCGTGTTCATGCTCGAGCACATATATATATTGCTGATTGAAGCGAAAATGCGCGTTCCCGGATATAACTGAGAAGATAAGGCGATCGCAGGAACCATAGGTATATTTGCCTGACGTTTCGAAAGCAAACAAGCTTCCATCATCGGAGGTGGGTTGCGTACTGCGCGTCACAGTATTTAAGAGTTTTCTTTCGTGCTGGCGTGTCACTGACTTCCAGCGCGCTGCATCACAAGGCGTGACGATTGTTGTCATGGCGGCATCGGTTTCTCCTCACCCTTTGTCGGGTGTGGGGAGGGGAGCGGCGTCGGGGTGACCGCGGCCATTGCTCTTGTTTGCATTGTCCGTTGTCCGCCCTCCACGTAGCTCGCCTTCCTACCCCGTTCGCACCTGCCCGTAACCGCGTGGACGGTGGTTGTCATGCCAGTGTTGACGTCGGGCTGGGGATTCCTGTCACTGTCGCGGGTTCTCGTCTCGCTGTCCCGTTCACACCTGCCCGTAACCGTGTTGACGGTGGTTGTCATGCCAGTGTTGACGTCGGTCTGAGGAGTACTGTCACTGTTGGGCGTTCTCACCGACTGCTCTCGTCTGTCTGCGTTCGCCGCCGGTTGTCCCCTGGTTTCGTTTGTTCCCGATGTCTGTCTATGCCCGTCCGTGCTCCCGCTTGGTCTGGGTTTGGTTACTGTCGTCTGCGGCCTGACGTCTCGTCTGTAGCCCTGCCTATTGAACTCCACCCGTAGGGCTTGGTAGGCAGCCGGCAAAGTTACGCAGCGGTTGATTGAGGTAGTTGTGGTGTACCAGGCTTCGAGCGTCTCCCTAACTGTTTGATCGCTCCCTTGGCCCAAGACTTCGGCGTCTTGGAAGGCGAAGGCGTGGCCAAAAGCTGCACAATGTTCTGCCACCAACGAGAGCTGGTCCATTCTTCGTACCGCTCTTGCGTGCTCGTTCATACGGGTCTGCAATCTCTCTCCGGTTTCTACAACGTAGTTTGCCTCGCAGGAACTACGCGGGACCCGATAGACGACGTTGGCAGTTTCGCCTCGTGGCAGAAGCGTTTTTGGCCTCATGACCAGACGTCTAATGGTCGCTTCTGGTTTGTGGGCGATGCCGATACCCAAGCTCCATGTGGGTGGCAAAGGTCACGAACAGACAACCAATTACCAGGCCGAAGTCGGCCAAGTAATAATAGCAGCGAGGAGGGACGACAGAGAATGCGGGTAGATTGAAACCCCGACCAGCAGCTGGAACCAGACACACATGCGCACAGACGCACCTGGCGCAGTTGGCCCACCACTGGGGTCTACCGGGTGTCATCTACGTAACGGGGCCACATTCTAGGTTTGATAATTTGAAAAACATCCTCTTCTGGTCACTGCAACACTGGTTCGGCGAGCAGTCCTGATATTAGCGAGCCCCTCGGGCTTCTCTTTACTTGTTGGGAGTACTTATTATCGAATTTGCAAACGCTCCTAAGGCAAAGTTTGAGTAATTCTATAACATACTGCGTCGGGATCTAAATAGGGTTGTTTTGTAGGCGTTGGGCTACTCTTTCTATTGTCAAATCGTGTGGTGCGGAAGAAAACTAGGCAACAACGCCAAAAGATAGGAGGAATCAATCAGTACCTACTTTGAAGCCATGGATCCTACGGAAGAATGCATGAGAGTTGTTAATGCTGCAGTCTGATCCCCGAGTAAGCTGCTTCCGATGAATGTACAACCACTTAGCTATATTGTAAGTAGGTGGTCCGATGAGTAGCATTGTAATCCTCTGTGGTACATCCACTTTGTACACTTTTCGGAGGCCATACGCATGTGCGATATGGGGATCACTGGGGATTATCAACTTAGAGTCATCTGGACTGATAACTTTCAGACGAGCGAGCTCATCAATCTTCTTTTCCATGGCTGCAGCCTGCTTTTTCGTCGGGTCTTCGGTTACACGTGTCTCGCCGATTGATTGTCTTTGACTCGAATGTTCATTGAGATTTCGGGTCTGACTCTAAAAAATCATGTCCCGGAGACTTAACTCCCTGTCCTGTACTGAATAATTGCTGAAATCATTCGCTTAACACACATGTATATACCTCACTTCGTATGGCTTATGACGTACTGATGATCGGTAACGGCTGCGAAACAGTTGTCTGCGTCTGGCTTGTTGCATTCCTAGTGAGCTGCCCATGTATTATGTACACGCATAGGTAGCTCGATATAACACACGAAACTGCACTTATGGTCCATAACTCCCGCCCACCTCTGTTTACCCCCTTTATTCATGCATTCAAAGCTTTCGTCCTATTTGCGAGCCAATACGTCTGCTTTGTAATCGGAAGTGAATACCCCTGTCTTCCTTGTACGTGGCGAACCCGTGCAAATTTGCTCAGTTGCTCTTTCAGCATTTATTTATCAAGCTGTACTATTTCCTCCGGATAGTTAATACGTTTAGAGTAAATAGCGTTGCCATGTCTGCCTGTTCCCATCCCACAGAATTTATAGAATCGGTGCTGCACCTATACAGAGCGACTCGGGATCCCTACTTGCTCGAGGTCGGCGTTGATGTTCTCACCTCCATTGAATCCCAGGCCCGAACAGGCTGCGGGTATGCTACGGTAAGCGCCAAGATGTCAATCGGTTTTCCCCTGAGAAAACCATTGCCGTTTGTTTTCAAACCGTGTGAGCTGGAGTAATATACTGTCCAGATAAAAATCATTTGTGCTACCAAAGTCCTTATGGAGACAGTATACTATGGAGTACCCCTTAAATAACCCAAAACCGGTCGATTGAATGTCTTAGCCTACTGATGACACAAATCTATTCTCTTTCCCGTTAAAGTGCTGTTTACAGGCGGCACATTGTCCGCTGATGTCGTTATTTATTCAGGCTACCAATTAGGGTAGGCAGCTTGCTGAACCTGCTTACCGAAAGCCATCCTGACTGATATCAAAACAGAAGTATTGTTGATGTTGCTCGACTACGAGTAAGCACAGTCTGGCGCGATTTCCCCCTTGTCCAATGTCAATTTGGCAAGAGTTTTAACGGAGGATAAAGTACGTGTCGTGGAAGCCTGTGACCTTAGTCTTATTGTAATGGCTTCAGCAGCAGTTCTCTGCTGGCCCTTCAAACGTGTGATGCCTATAATTGTGCTGTCATTTTGTTAAATACATATGTAGTAGCTAGGTTTCTTTTTTATCATGAAAAATTGCCGCTGAATTGCCTTCTATTACAATTCAGTTTGGCTCCAATTGCCTCAAAAGTTGCGCCCAGGCGGAAGGTGGTTGAGTTAGGCTGTAAATACAAAATCTGAAACGCATTAATCAGGGGACTTTACTTGCGTCAGCAGTTATTTGGGTTAAATCCATTGGCCATGCTGCCGTAATCTGAAGACCTTCAAAGTGTGCTTGTTGCGTCGAGGCTGAGTTTTAGCCAACAGGCCTCGCACCGGTGCCCCTTGTATCTGGGATTTTGTCTTATAGACTGTTGACGTATTTCAGTTTCTTATAGCCCGAAATAAGCGCTATTCAGGCGTTGTACTTTTCCTTAGTGTGCCTTTTGCGACTGAGTTCGTCGATTCTTATCTTTTAATGTTTTCCATCATTTACACTGACTTTAATACCGTGTTCGTCGTCGATATTGCATGCAAGCCGACAGTGACTTATTGTTATAATGCTTCTCTTATTTTATCCAATGCACATTTGACTCTCCCCTCGCACTCAGTAGCCCTCTGGTCTCACCTGCAGGTCGCGGACGTTCGCACACACTCACTGGAAGATCGTATGGAGTCATTCTTCTTGGCCGAGACGACTAAATACCTCTACCTCCTCTTCGACACAGATAACTTCTTACACACCCTCCCCTCAGAGGAGCGCGATCAAAGCTTGCATTCGGCCTCTCCGTCACCTGCCTGGGCGTCATCTGAGCAGCAGTGTGAGCCGGAAAGCGGCGGCTACATTTTCAACACTGAGGCACACCCGCTTGACAGTGGCCTCATTCACTGTTGTTCTATACAACGCGTCCAGTCATTGGATGCC